CCCCCCCCCCAAGGCCCTTTTTGTGGGGAAAGGGTTTCCCGGGGGGGGGGGCCCCCACGCGTTTTTCCGGCCCCTCCCCGGGGGGTAGGGGGGGTTGGCTTTTTTATAGGGCCTTGTTTTGGGGGGGGGGGGGGGGGGGGGCCGTTTTGTGGGGAATGGGAGAAAAAATTGGGACACCCCCCCAAGGGGCAGATTTTTTCCTGAAGGAGAAGATAGAGGAAAAAAGCTTTTTTTTTTTTTTTTTATTTTTTGGGGGGGGAAAATATTAAGTTTTTTTCTTTGGCCCATAGGCCCCCTTTTCCCCCCTTGGGGGGGGGGGGGGGGGCTAGGTTCGCATATTTTACCATGGGGAGGGAAGTGGGTGGATCAAAAGCTGGGATCTCGATAGATTTGAAAAAGAGCAGGCAAGAGTGCTATCTGCAGCAGTATGGATACATAGAATGCAAGTTCCCTAAGGCATGGTGAAACACGGCACATGCCTATGGTACCGGAAAAAAAAGAAAAGAAAGAGGAAATGATACGACGTTTTTGTGAGGATACGCCTACAGGTAGCGCGCGTACCAAATAACATCATACATGCTACCCAGGACGAGGTTCGTTGCATATTTTGTCTGTTGGGTACCCCAACAATGACTACAATAGGTTGTGGCACAGGCTTCTCGACTGAGCACCTGCTCTCTCTCTCTCTTTTCCTACCTTTTAAAATCTGTCTTTCATCGAGCATTCTTGATTGAGCACCTGTTCTCTCTCCCCCTTCCTAAATCTGTTGTTCGTCTAGCCTTCTTGACGGGGCACCTGTTCTCTCTTCACCTTCTAAAATCTATCTTTTCATCGAGGCTTCTTCATTGACTTCCTGCTCTCTCTCTCTCTCTCTCTCTCTCTCTCTCTCCACCTTCTAAAATCTGTCTTTCATCGAGCCTCATGTCCTTAACTCCCGGTTGTTCTCAGGTGCAGGCGCCAGTTGCACAGGTGGGGCGAGACCGGTACCCAGAGTGTTACGTGGTGCTCATGGAACACGGGGCCCCCGCAAGCGGGCTGCCAGGTGGTGGCGTGCATATATGCTCATGACTCAGGACGATTAAGATACCACACACCCCGCACACCAATTGTCAGAGCTGGAATACTCCGCTGCAAAACACGGCGGCGACAGTGCCGAACGCGAAGGTCGTATCATGTAGCTCTTGGGGTAGTCCAGCTTCGAAAATAGGGGTGTTATCTAAAGTGATATATGCCTCCCGGTCGGAATAGCAAGGAAGCTACTTGTAGCTGGGCAGGGTGCACACCACAGGCAACCGCCGGACAAAATGGAGCATGAAAAAAAATAAGTAGTGTAGTGGCGGCTGCAGCAAAAGCTCCCGCAAATCACAACCTCCGATTAAGCGCAAGCACGGGGTTATTTTACCCCACGTGGGTTGTCAACAGCTGCTGTGTACCTACTTCTTGGTTTCTTGCCTGCTTATACTACGACCAACCAGACACCTCCACGTTCTCAACGGCCGTGCGTTCCGAGGTACTGGCGCCACAACCAACACCTGATGATTAAAGATTTTAGATGTAATCAAAATTGACCAAACATCATCAATCGGCCGGCACACAACAACCGCCTATCATCTACATGTACGGTCAGATTGAATATCTGGATGTTTCTAGAAAAAAAGTGAACCCGCCGTGGCTGACGTCACATGTCGACCAGGGAATTTTCGCCAACCCAGAAATTTTCTTTCAAAAAAATTGGCCAATCAGAAAACTGCGGGCACCTTTTCTCTCTCTCTTTGCACCGGCGGCGGGGATGCTGAGAGGACAACCGCTCGTCGCAGCCTCGGGTTGGTTGGCACACCGTCACCACCGAACAAATCGGCAGCTACGACAAGAAAACTCTGAATTAGGTATTTTACTTTTGACACATCTTCTTCCCAGCCTGAAAACTACTTCACCATACACCTGTACAATGTATTTGGAAAACAACGATAGCCTTAACCGGGAAAGTTCGAGAAAAGTTCGAGGTTCCGCAGGGGTGGCTTGCGAATCAAGCAGGGAGGTGTCACTTCCACAACCGGGCGCTAGGATGACGGAACTGAACGGTTGGAATTGCCCAGGTCAGAGCCGCTATTGGAGGGACCGGAAGTGCGGGAAACGTTAGTAGGTACGGCCGCCGCGAGACACTTTACTCTTTACCTACACGTGGTCCTGGGAAGGAGTGCCACGTTAACCACGATATCTCACAAGAGGACAGAGGTGACGCAAGATACCTTCCAGAAAACAGGCGTGTTTTTCATGCACCCGGGGGGTTCATCAACTACAAGTAATAGTACACTCTGCCCACTCTGCCCTGCCTGGGTTTGCACAGTTAGTTGTGGTCCGCTGTGATCATGCGCATGCTTGTCACCCCCCCCCCGAAAGCACACCGCGGAACCCCGACCTTAAACTGAAAATAGGAAAAAGGGAAGGGGGCGGGCGAACCCCTTTGACAAGTGGTAACCAAACGCCACAAGCTACACCACTCTGCAGCAGCAGAACCGTGCCTGCGTGCCCGGCTGTTATCACAGGTTAGGCATGGCCTTGCATCCAAGAGCGTATGTAGCGGAAAGTGACGGGAGGCTGTACCGAGCGACGCTTCAGATAATACCAAACGAAATCGCCCAGCCGTATCCGGATCGCCGTCTATTGTTTACTTGCCGCATTTTCCGGGCACCGATGACTTGTTCTTGTTCGTGGAACGTGCTTGTCCCCTCGTGGCGGCATATTCCGCCCGCTCGGGTTTCGAAGCAAAGACGAAAACATGAACCTTGACCAACGTCTGTTTTTCGGTGCAGCAGTACTCTCACAGGCTGACTGGACAATTGCAACGATTGACGTTGCTGTCGCTTCAACCCCCTCCCCCGATCACACTGCTGCATCGAAAACGTTTTCGGCATGACCCTAGCTTTCCGCTCTCTTGCTGCTGAACGAAGCACCTGCTGTCTCTGTTGCCCAGAGACGTTTTCGTGAGTGAGCCAACACAGCAGTGCAGCACGAACATGACGGCAGGAGCAACAGCAGGAGCCTGCTGCACTCGATCTGCATCTGATTCTGAAGACCGCGCGTGTCAACAAACAGCACAGAGCACTCGAGCTACACCGAGCATATTGAACAAGCGCTTTCTCCCCTCTCTCTCTCTCTCTCTCTCGCCAATCGTCCCTCTCACCTCCATGCTCCACCTCCGCCTGGTGTTCATGTTGCCACCGGGCCGCTGCTGCTGGTGCTGTGTCATCAGGGCAGAGCGTAGCCCGTGCAAGGGCCCAGCACCCGTCGATCCTGCCGCCGCCTGCCCGGCGCAGCATAGCGCAACCACCACACAGAAGACCTTCATAGCGCCCTGCTGGAGATTTCTATGGCCTGTTCGTCGCTCTATCTCTCCCCGTTTGCTGCTTGTGCTGGTGACGGTGGTTTGAAAACTAAAACTGCCGGTAAAGGCGATCGAGGGGGCCCGCAAATGCACATTCTTCAAAGTGGGGGGTATACCCCTGCAAGGCGGACTGCAAAAAAATGAAAAAATAAAAAAATAAAAACTCGCAAGCACACAACAAGCAGCAGACACCGGAGAAGACACTCAGTACTGCTTGTGAGCAACATCGGCACAGAGGGAGGGAGGGACGGATTGTTCGCCTGCTGCCGGATTCTGTGCTGCGTTGCTCGTCCTGCTCCTTCAGCACTGGAGGTTATCACGAACGCAACAAAGGTGGTTGTGTCTGCTGGTCGGTTTCTGCGGCTCTGAACTACGGGCTGTAAGCGCTGGTGCAGGAGACCTGCTGTACACCCCCTTTACAAAACAGCACAGAGAGAGAGAGCAACACGTTCAGGTGGAGGCTTCTGAGTCCTCTCCGTGGCTACACCATGATCGGGGCGGTTGGAACGGGACTAGCCAGGGCCTTGCCGGTGGCGGCACGAAGAGCAGGGACCGCGGCAACCGCGGCCGCTGCTTCGCGACGATGTCCAAACCCAGCCGTTTTTGTCCTCCGGCCAGCAGCAGCAGCAGCAGCAGCAGCAGCAGCAGAGGTCAGGGGTTCTGGCCTCCTGTTTTCGTCGATGTCTGCTTCGAGAGCAGGTATGTCTGTGGAGGAATCGGCTGGTTTGTAGACGAGAACGGGAATGCGGGAGTCGGTATAGAGGCAGTTGCCGACACGATGATTACCGGCAACACTACTGCTGTAGACTAAATACCATGCCAAGATAAAATTGGATGCGTAAAAAATGTTACACTGCGTCTGACTTCTGTACCGTCGCGACAGCAGTTTGTACCCGCAAGAACGCGGCACCACTAGTCTACAGCACCAGTCACGCGGTGGCCGGCAACGAATCATCTTCAAACAACTAGAACACTCTGAGCAGACATTCAGCAGGCAAACTCGGCGGCATTTGGTTTCAATAAAGGGCTGTTTGTGAGCCCATTGTTTTTTGGTGTGCTCTCAACAGCAACGATACAAACCGGTCGGTGGTTGCAGTGACGTTTGGCGCCCGCGATCTAGTACATAAGCAACGTTTCCCTCACTGCAAAGACCAAGACTTCAACACTCGAACGGGCAGTCTTTCTGTGTTTCTACGTAGTACATGTAGAAGTAGTATTTTTGTACGCAACTCGCATTCATAGATGCCTACATACTCTCACAACAGCGCCTTTTGTAGAATTGCATGCTGATGTATGATACATGGCGCCACAGAGGGCTAACTCAAGACCAAGCTCAACGTACTGGTATGTTCGAGTTGGTACACCGAAGGCCCAAAATGACACCTGCCCAAACATCAAAAAGACACCCGTGTGTTGTAGTCTCTGCATTTTGCATTGCTTCCTACCGCCGTCACGTAGTGATCGCGAAATCCCCCCGCCGCCCCCCCCGGTGTATTGCCATCGGGGTTGGATTTTCGTCCCTTGGCAACGACGTTATAAAACAAGCCCCCCCCTCGGTGTTTGCCACAGGGATTGGGTTTTCGTCGCTTGGCAACGACGTTGTAAAGCAAGCCAAGTCACTTCGTGAACCCGGCAACCAGGTTACTGGTTTATTTTTTGTACCTCTTTTTTTTTTTTAGCGGTAACCATGAATGGGGGTCGAGTAGATCATGTTGTGCGGGGTCGAGAACCCTCACTCCGCGCGAGGGGGATGATCGCACCACGTTATGTTAAAATGGTCAAGCATCCTCGAGGCAGTTACACAGCAGTGCTTATCACTGTCTCTGGAAGTTATAGCCCCAAAAAATAAATTAAGTCATACACAGCTGTCATTCCTACGCAAGGAGTAAGCACAAGATGCCGAACCCCCTTAGCAGGATGCAGCGCACCCTTCATGCGACTCGCCGAATACCTCACGGCGCTTCGCGCTTGGTGATGTAAAAGCCTGGTCCGGTGCGAAA